CGGGCTGTAGATAACCACGTTAGTATAAACTGAGGAAGTGAAAGAGCACTTACACAACGTCTCCAACGCCGCGGCTCGCAGCCCACAATCATCGAGCTTCAGCGACACGAGCCCCTTGCGCTCCCGCCCCTCCCGATCCCGCGCATCCTTGTCCTTGTCGTCCAACGCATAGCCGAGGCTGTAGCGCACCTCGCTGCCGTTCATGTACGAGGTCGTCGACGGGGAGGAGGTGGAAGAGTAGTCTCGGCTGTCGACGGACGCCGAGTCGGAAATTGAGACGAAGGACGCCGCGGAAGAGGTTGTGCTGGGGAAGAGGATCAGTATTTAGATAGAGCGCGGGGGTGAAGACGAGTAGAACGGCGGGCATTAGATGTAACGGGAAGACCACTAAATCTAACGACGATAGCGTGTATCGTGGTGCGCATTCGGCTGCTGGAGATCTCCGTCGCCGCCACGGCCACAACGAGCACCTCCCACGGCGAGGCACAAAAACGACAGACAGCCGCCAAAACCCAAACCCAAACCCAAAAACCCAAAAACTCACCGCTGCTCCACCGGCACATACTCCACCAACGCGCCCACGATGCACTCGACCGCCTTCTTGTCGAGCGGGTTGGAGGAGAGGTCGAGGAAGGTGAGGGTGTGTGCCTGAGAGGGAGGTTAGCGTTGTGCGAAAAGCCTTGAGATTGGAAGAGGAGGGGTAGTAAGGGATGGGGAGGAGGAGGAGTAAGTGCAGGGCTCGCCAGCAGGATCACCGCCGAGCGCCGTGAACGATGTACGACCGACCGATGTCTGCCGGCGTGCCCAGCTCCACGTCCATAGGTACACGCCTACGCCCGGCATCGGCATCGCGCCTCTCCGTCCTAGGGCGTCCCACTCAGCACCGTTGGCGTCGGCGTCGCGCGCCCCTCGGCTCCAGCCACGAGTCAATCCCCATCGGCGCGTCCTCCCCTCCCCCTTCTGCTCCCTTCTACTCCCCCCAAAAAATAATAAAGAAATAAACAAAACCCAAACTCACCTTACTCAAATACGCCCCCAAAACCCTCCACGCATTCCCCTTGAGCTTTTTATTGGACGCAAGGCTGAGGAAGGAGAGCGAGCGCGGGATGAGGAGGGCGTGGAGGAGGGGTTTTAGGGTCTGTGTGAGCGTCAGCGAGGGTTACGATGCGGTACGACAGCGGGTGGTACGAAAGGCGAGACAGAAAAGGGGGAGACGGAAAAGTGGGAAGAAGGAAGGTGGGTGGAGGAGGATGGATAGATGGGAAGGGAGGGGGGCGGTACGATGCGGTGGGGAGGGCGGTGAAGGGGGCGGGGAAGAGGGTGGGGGAAGGGAGAGAGAGTAAAGACACCAAAAGGAAGAATACGGTAGGGTGGAGAGGAAGACAAGGGCAGCAAATGTATATGTATGTACGTAGACAAGCCAAGCGGACGCCGAAACGAAAAAATGTGGACGTCGTACGTCGTACGTCGGTGGCGTCGACGACGGACAGAATCCGTCAATCATCGGTGTCTCGCGCACGCCCATTAAAAAAATAGTCTCCGAACGAAAGCGCAAGCAAGCAAGGAACGAACGAAAGCAAGGAAGCAAAAGCCGAAAAACGCAAAGAAGGCAGGGAACACTCACAGCCTCCTCCAAATCACACTCCCTCCACACGACCTGTAAGCGGCGCATCAGCAATTAGTCTCACTCTGTACTGCACGAAAAGAAAAGACAGAGGGAAACACGAGGCGAGGCGTCAACGCGTGCACGACGGCGACTCGCCAACGCCAACGCGAGGAGTCTCGTGCACACCCCCGAGACACGAAGAACGAAGAAATGCCGCCGAAGGGGGCGACGAGAACGCGTCCCGTGCGGGTGGGCTGCAGCCGCGTCGGGTGCACAACGCCAACGCCAACGCCACCTCTCTCCATTCGCCAACGCTTCTCCCGCCGCCCAAATACACTCCGCCCCCGCGCCAACTTTCCCGCCAACGCGCAAATACACGTAGGAACGAACGAAAAAACGCGCCGAAAAAACACATAATGGAGCAGAACAACGCACCTTCCGCAACCCCCACTCAATACTGAGCACGTCCGCGAGGATGGCGGCCGAGGCGGGGGTGAGCTGGACGCCGGAGAAGGAGACGGTGCGGGGGTGGGTTGGGGGGGTTGTCTGTGTGGGCGTCAGCGAACACGTAGTGCGGTGGGGAGAAAAAATGAGCGGAGGAAGAGGTGGGGAAGCGATGGGGACAGGAAGGGAGGACGCGCGCGGAAGTCAAACGAGAGAGCGAGAAAGGTGATGGTCGTATGCAACCCCACCCCGCCTCGCCACGTCGTGAGTACGGGATATTGGGGTGCACACCGCCGCTGCAGCGCCGGTAGATAGATAGACTGTCTACACGGTCCTGCAGAAGGTGACCGGCCGTCCCGATGGGCCGGTGAAACGCCCGACATCAGCGCCAGCGCCAGGGGATCTAGGTGCATCAGGCGTCGTGCGTCGTCCTGGCGCTGGCCCGCGGCGTAGGACGGAGGCACTGCGTCGGGCGGGCGGCGCGCGCAGGCAAAAAGAAAAAGACTTTGTAAAGAAGGTCGAGAGAGAGGCACAAAAAAAATGCGCCGCGCCCGCGTCGCCCCAAAAGTCCACCCGAAAAAACACACAGTACAGGCCAAAAAACACACCTTAAACGCGGCACAGATGCCCTTATCCGGCACCTCCTGGCACCCCTCGCAGCACTCGCGGTAAAAGCTCTCGACCTTGTCCATCGGCCACCAAGTGCTCTCCTCCCCGCCCGCATCCTTATCTCTGCTCCCACTCGTCCGCGTCGAGGCCGCATCCCCACTACCCCCATTCGCCCCACCGCTCCCCACCACAGGCGTCCCCGGCGTCGACGTCGACCCGCCCGCACCAATATACCCATACGAATTACTCCGCACCACCCTCCGCCTCCTCTCCCGCTCCTTCTCCTCAATCGCACGCTTCTCCTCGCGCAGGGTGGGCGTGGACGGCGGCGCGGCCGACGAGATGGGATACACGACCGCGATCTCGGGCAGGATAAAGTGTGCGCGCTTCAGGATGCGGGTCGATTCGTCCTTTGCTCCGTCTTTACCACCACCACCATCCTTCCCACTACTAACATCCTTCCCCCCGTATTCGCCCACATTCGACGGGCCGGGTTGCGCTGAGGTGTTGGTGTTGGCGGTGGAGCGCAAGAAGCTGCCCAGCCCCATGCGCGAGAGAAGACCGCCCTGTGCGGGGGGCGGTTTCTTGAGGATGGAGCGGCCAGGGATCGGGATTGTCACGGCAGAGGACGAGGGCGACGGCGAGGATGGCCCCAGTGAGGGCGAGTGCAGCGACATCGTTTATTGTATTCGATGCAAGGGCATATAAAGTTTGTTACTTCTTTTTTGCCCGTTTTTCGCGCGATGTAAACCAGCCAAGTCGACGCCTGGTAAGCCCTTGTACACTTGGAAGCCCTTGCAAGTCTCCTAGTCCCTTTAGGTTGGGAAGCGACACCGCGTCTGAGGAGCAGCTCGGGTCACGGAGGTCGGCGGATGCGGAGGAGGCTTGTTTGGCAAGAGCGTGTGGGTTGATGCAGGTCGTGTGATGGTGGTGTGATTGATGCGATATGTGATGGGTGATGGGTTCAAGTTCAAGTTGAAATGTGGTGTCGTTCTGTTTTTTGGACCAGAAACTCACAGAAATCTAATGTAACTGTGATTCAACGAGCCGGTAACAAGTCAGGTTCTTCTGCAACCGTGAGCGGAGATCAAGCCGGAGATGGAGGGCCTCAGATGATTAAATTCATCCCCGGCGTGAGGGGGTAGGTGCCTTTCATCGTGTAAGACACAGTAGCCGGGAACTAAAAATCGGTTCACGCATGGACAACAACCCGATGGAAAAAGATGGAACTTTTTCGACTGATAACCCACCCGTGAGTCGAACACGGTTCCCCTGTTTTCACGTAATGCCGTCACCAGGCGCACTAACCACTGTGCGCTGCTGAGTCTTTCGTTTAGGTTCCTCATTAACCAGTGAGCTGAAGGCTGCATTGATATTCTAATGCGGGGTACGATTTCAAAGTCAGGGATTCAAACTATCAAATAAATTACAGCTGGGATATCGATGGTTGAATTTATCCAGTGAAGGCGTAAGATAATTCCCCAAGGGTGAGAACCTGTAAAAAACAAAGGCAACAAGCACGACAAATGGGGAGAGAAAAAGGGCGAGGAAAGATTCGTATGACCCAACCGTGAATCGAACACGGACCTCCTGCATCCAACCTATATCTACTCCAACGTGGGCAGGTGCACTCCCGATTTGTGCTATCAGGTCGTTGACTGCTTATAACTGGAAGGCTAGGTATGAGATCATCAAAAATGAAGGGAACAAGCACGACAGACGGGGAGAGTAAAAATCGTCTTGGACTGTCGGATGACCCAACCGTGACTCGAATACGGGCCTCCTGCATCCCGGTAATCGTAGTCTGAGATCTGAACCTGCGTAACGTGGGCGGAACACCGACCAGTGTGTGCTATTAGGTCGTGCTGCTTACAATTGAAAGGCCAGATATCAAATTCCTTAAGCACAGCAATTCTTGAATCACCCAGCTGCGATGTTCTCAACAGCCGGTCTCAAAAACATTACAAAGGCCGACCAACGAAGGGAATGAGCACAACATGGGAAGAGAGAAAAGCTGCGGAAGACCGAAAAAAAAAGATGAGGATCCCCACTGATGACCCAACCCTGAGTCGAACACGGGCCTCCTGCATCCCGGTAATCGCGTTCTAAATATCTAACCACCATGGGCAGGCGCACAAACCAACGTGTGCTATTAGGTCGTTGCCTACTTGAACACACCTGCCCGTCGGGCATCTCGGAGATGCCAAAAGCTGGGATATTGATGGTTGAATTTATCTGTTGAAGCCTGAAGGCGTAAGATGGTTCTAAGGCAGAGAAACGGTGAACTAATGAAGGAACAAGCACGACGAACGGGAAGGAAAAAACGTAGAAACACAGTATATGACCCAACCGTAAATCGAACACGGACCTCCTGCATCCCGGTAATCGCATCCTAAATATCAACCACCATGCGCAGGCGCACTAACCATTGTGTGCCATTGAGTCACTGGTTGAGGTTCTTCATCCGACTTGAAGCTATGGCTTTGATTCTGCACCCACGGATAATGTTCGTTGTGGTCTCGGGCGTGCCTGCCTGGCCCGAACATTCAACCACGGATTATGAACAATTTCATGCCAAGTTAAGGGTGGATTTTTCCGTAGAGGTTCTCCGGAGGGTTTCCTCAAAAAACAAATACTTTCCACCAATCAAGCGGGGAAGTCTCGGCACCCCAAATTTAAACGGGGAGCAAAACAAAGGAAGAGGCAATACCGCTATGATATGACCCAACCGTGATTCGAACACGGACCTCCTGCAACCAATGTCAAAGGACTATCAACGTGGGCAGGCGCACTGACCATTGTGTGCTATTGGGTCATTGGCTACTTGCAACTGAAGTCTTCTGTAGGCACACGTACAACTGTTCATTGTTAGGCATCTTCAAGACATTCTATGGCGAGAGTATTGAACCACCGAAGACCGAAATGAAATCGTGTGATGCAGCGTGGTTGAACGACAAGATTTTCAGCTGGGGTCGACATGATGCATTTTGCCGGATTTCGATAGAAATGCACCTGTGATCGCCGATTCAGCGAGATTGCTAGATGAAACGAAATCAGATCTCTTCGAGGAACAGGCAGTAAAAGCCGGAAGCGAACGACGAATGAAGTGAACGAGTAAGGAAATACAATCAGAGCACAAAAAATGGTTATCGTGCAAGCCGATGACCCAACCCTGAATAGAACACGGGCTTTCTGCGTCCAGGTACTTATGGGCATTTGTAATGGGCAGGCGCACCAACCACTGTGTGCAATTGGTTGTCTACTTGCAACTCGAAGCTCAGATATCTGGTTCTTTGAACACACCTGCCCGTCGGGCATCTCGGAGATGCCAGAATATTCAACCATCCAGCTCTGGACTGAAGGCAGTCAGGAACCAAGTTCGAATTCATAACAGCCGGCAAGAAAACCAAAAAGGCTGGAAAGAATACGATTCCTTGATGACCCAACCGGGAATCAAGATCGTCACAATTGTCATCGAGTAGTTAATAAATTGCTAATAAAATCGATATCGACGCATACGCGTCTACTTACATTTGCCTCTCCGTCGCCGACCTGGCCGCGATGCGCCTCGTCACAGCCTCCTCCGCGCATTCCCAGAATCCCGGCATCCGACCACTCCGAGCGTCACTCAACCACGTCCCTACATCCTCCTTCACGATCTGTGGATGCTGCACCAGCACGAACCGCACGTCGTCGCTGTGAATCCCCGGCGTATCGACCGCCTGGTAAAACGGCGCGCCAACGCGCACGCCCCCCAGCTCAAACCACATCGCCGACAGCGCGGCCAGCACGCGCAGGGCGCGACACTCCTTCAGCAGGTTCATGCAGAGGGGTAGGATCCCGCGCGCGTGCGGGTTGCACTGCAGCGCGAGGTGGGTGAGGCGCGGGAGGCGCGCGAGGCCGGCGCAGACTTCGGGCGCGCGGATGTGCTCGCGCATCTCGAGGTGCGTGAGGTTGGAGAACGCGTCGAACGCGGTGCTACGCTCGTTGCGCGGGAGTTCCGAGAGCAGATCAGTGAGGTCGGCGTGGAGGCGCGTAAGCGCTGGGAACGTGGAGATGAACGGGAAGAGGAACGCGATGGACTGGTTGTGCGTGCTTTTGGCGGCGAGGCTCTCGATGCGGGTGCAGGTGGTGAAGATTGCATCAATGGCAGAGATGGTGAAGGGACTCAGGACGGGTGGGTCGATACAGATGTGCCGGACTGCGTCGCGGTAGAAGGAGGAGCGGGATCGGGGGCTCAGGACGAATGCGACGGGGGTGGGGTGCGACGTGCCTACGAACATTGTTCTGTACAGGAAGGGTTCGACCCTGGCATGTATGGAATGAGTACTCAATTTGGTACTGGTAGCTCTGGGAAATACGTACCAATGTTTGACGCGGTGTGCCACCCGCATGAGGATTGGGATGCTGGAAAAGTGTACACTCGCGGCGAGTTCGAAAATGACGCGTTCCAGGTCGAGAGGAAGAGCGGGTTCCATGTTGTGCGAGGGCGATTGGAAAGTTGGTAGCAAGGCTGGGATTAAGAGCAAGAGCGTGGTGACATTATATACCCGCTGCGCGATCAACGCTTTGACCGAGAACCCATTTTTGGAAAAGGTGGCCGTCTATTGTTGGATCGTGGCCAGGAAGCAACAAAAGAACAAAGTGTTGCGTTTTCGCGGTCCAAGCATCGCGGGCTTGACCTTGCTTCCGGCCACAGGGGCGAAGGTCAAAGCATTGTCGTCGAGACAACAGGTGAGACTTACCCGGTGATTGTACTAAAAAAGTCTCGTTCAGGGGTGGTAAATATGACGCAGCGACCCAGGCTTAAAGACATTTCTCCCCTTGCTTAATCGCTCGCTGCTCTTCTTGTCGAGTTGTCTGGGAAGGTAGCGCGGCGGATGAGGACTTGAATTGCGCTCGCTGGAGGATGCGGGTGGTCGAAGTCGACGAAGAGAACGAGCTTTGCGGTGAGGATGGAGCGGCCGGGGATGCGGATTGTCACCACAGCGAGGCCCGAGGGAGGGCGAGTGCAGCGACATCGTTTATTCCTGGCCAAGCATTCGATGCAAGGGCATATAATTGTTGTACTGATCCTCAGTGATCCTCCCACTTCTTTTTGCCCGTTTTTCGCGCGAGCCAATTCGACGCCTGTACGCTTGTAAGCCCTTGCAAGTCACCTAGTCCCTGTAGATCGAGAAGCGACACCGGGTGTATGAGGAGCAGCTCGGGTCACGGCGGTTGGCGAAAGGAGGCTTATTGGGCAAAGGCGTGGCGGTTGATGGGGTCGTGTGATGGTCTGATGCGATACATGATGGGTGATGGGTTCAAGCTCAAGTTGAAATGGGATGGGAGTAGACTGGATGTAAGTCCTTCTGTTTTTTGGACTACAGGAATCGACTGTTGGGTCGTTGTCCAGTGTTCATAACTCGAAGGCTAGGTATCTGAATCCTAGTACACCCACCGTCGGGCATCTCGGAGACACCAGAATATTCAACAATCCAGCTCTGGATTGAAGGAAGCCAGGAAACAAGTTCAAAATTTGAATTCGTAACAATCGTAACAAAAAATGCTCTACCACAGAGCTACTATATGATGACACGACCGTGAATCGAACACGGTCCACCCTGACACATAACGTGGGCTGCTGCACTAACCATTGTGTGCTATTGGGTCATTGGGTGCCTACAACTCGAAGCCGCGGTATCGGATTTCTTAAGCACAGGAATCCTTGAATCCCCTAGCCCTGCACTGTTCTCAACAACCAGTTTTATAACATTAATTTGGTGCGGCGGGCTTATTTCAAGTGTGGGTCTTGCCGTAGAGTTTACCCGAGAGGACATTCTGAGCGGAAGGAAGGAGTCCGAAGGACAGCGAGCGCAAAACAAGGCGGGGAGTAAAACATTAGAACTCCAATATGACGCAACCGTGATTAGAACACGGACGTCCTGCATCGGGAGAGCGATTCATGGACATGCGCAGGCGCACTACAAACGGAACGTCGATATCATCCATAGTGTTGGCAGTGGCAGCACCGAGATCAACCCCCCGGAAGCAGCTCCGGCCTCGGCATCCTCTGGTTCGGTGCACGGATCAAGGATGCCGAGTTTGGCCGAACCGTGTTTGACTCCGATCAGAGGGAGCTCAAGTTTGTTACACCGGCCTGTGATTTTGTGAGGATGAGCTGAGTGTGAAGGACTCACTCCCGGGGCTGATGACTGTTTGTGACCAAAACATCGGCCCCAAACATGTTTTCTTTTTGGTTCACTGTTTGTGTCCAAGCCAAATGTGAACCAGAAATAAACTGTGTTTGACCACCCAATTGAACAGCAAACATCCACCATCTTTCGAGCCCAAATGCTCACAGAAAATCTGATATGTTCCGCAAATCTTCTGTAACCAAAAATCAAACTGTTTCAGCTCAAAACAGTGCAAGAACAATGAGATTTGCATGTTTGTTGCCCAAACTGGACAGTTTTTTCCCGGCCAAACTAACGGCAAAGATCTTACATGTTTCGGCAAGTTTAGAGGCTTGAACATTCTTGGAATTCGGGAGTCGAAGGGGATCTAAAAATCAGCTATGTTCAGCACATTTTTGAGCAGGCTCCAAAAATTATGCTAAACAGAACACATGTTTGGAAGCCATGTTTCTGGCCCAAAAATCCATCAACCCCAAGAGTGACTCATAATAAGGGGGTGAGTTGAAGGGATGGTCATCCAGTCATGGATCGCTGTTCCGATTCTCCCGGCAGTGTTTCCGGCAGTGCCGCCGAGAGTGCCGCAGTGTTGAAGTCGCAATGGATGCAATTTTCAACTCGAATGAACTTAGGGTCAGGTGAAAAGGAACAAGCCCTGTTGCCAGGTCGGCGCGCAAACCTGTTCCAGTTATCGAAATTGAAACTTCAACAAAGTAAACTGACACGGTATATAACCATCTGGTCTGAACGTGACAGGCAAAAGAGATGTAGAGTGAGTAGGTAATGAGTTTCGACCATTTGTGATTGAATTTCGATATAATGTGGAACCCAAATGCGCAGAGAGAGGTAAATAAGAGCATCGATGGGGTATTGACCACCATCAAAACAGGCTACACCGTATCCCCTGAACTCGCTGCCGCGCGAGCGTTGTGCAGTAGAACCATCTAGGAGGAGGACAATAAGGAAGGCCCAGTACTTGGGCGAAGGCTTATTCCTCCCGCGATACGTTGTGTGCTTTTTAATGTCCACAACGTGTCACATCAGGGGCTGGCCAAAAAAAGTGGCAAATCGGGAGTAGAAGAGAATGTTTGAGAGGTCGTATGCAAGGGATGCCTGTAGGAACAGAAAATAAACGAATAGGAAGTGGGATACTATGTAAGGCACCGACGGTGTTCTTTTCAACCAGGACGTGTGTCTGTGTCTGTTGAACAGCGATCTTGGCTTGCTGGACGATTACTTCCGCTTGCTGCGTCTCCACTCGCAAGGCGG